TAAGGTGCCACAAGTCCTCCTGTTCTTCTTTTTGTAACTCTGGTGTTCATAACTTTGAGGTTCTACTGTACTGTGTAACGTGACAGAGTTAATATCTGAAAAGCTTAAATTTCAATTTCTGACTGAAAGACAAGGTGGGTGAGGTAATATCTTTTATTGGACCAACTTCTGTTGGTGAGAAAGACAAGCTTTTTAGCTTACACAGAGCTCAGGAAGAAAAAGCTGAAGAAGAGCTCTGTGTAAGCCTGAAAGCTTGTCTCTCTCACCAACAGAAATTGGTCCAATAAAAGATATTACCTCACCCGCCTTATCTCTCTAATATCCTGGAGCCAATAGAGCTACAACTACACTGCATAATTTCTGACTTAGGTTTTTAAAATTGTAACCATGGAGGTAAACTTTTGAAGTTCAATAGTAAGAATAAAATATAAAGCTTCTAGTCTGCAAATGAAAGGAAAATTCAGTGTTAAATCTGACTCATGCTCCTTTGTCATAAATGCACTGTGTAAATGTTAGGCTCAGAATATAATTACTTTGACATTGAGTCACTGTAGATTTAACTTAAACATATTACTTTAGTGCTTTGTGAGGGAAAATAGGGCATAGCAAGGCTGAGAAAAATGACAATAATTCTAAAGGTATTTTTAGCAGTGATGCCAAGTTAATATTTAAGATGTGAAGCTACTTTTTAAATTGTCCAGTAGTTTAGTTTGCTTCATGATCCAAACTGAGTTTTTCTAAGTCACTGGCATTGAAGGAAAATCTTATTAGTGCAATAAATGTGGTCTGTTGTAAAGGATATGATTGTAGCCACACATTTTAAAATAAATTTCAAAAAGTAGGAGTTCTCAAAATGAGCTGGATTTTAGTGCCTTGTGTGTGTATATAGTGGACTAAGTGCCGTGTGTGTCTATATATATATAGACTCTCTCTCTCTCTCTCTCTCTCTCTCTCTCTCTCTCTCTCTCTCTCTCTCTCTCTCTTCTCTCTCTCTCTCTCTCT